GTTGTATCGATTACAACAATATATCTAAATATAATGCTATATATATCCGGTTTTTTTATATACATGTATAATTATAATGACATCAATAATTCTATACAATTGTAAAAGTACAGTAGACTCTCGCTATAAGTGCTCTCTTTATAAGACACCCTGAGCGTTTGCCTTCCACTCGGACTTGCACGCACACACAAGTCACTTCCCCTACCATGTCTGCCTGCGCGGAGTCGTAGGTGCGGCGACAACGGATCTGCCGTCTCCCACCATGCTTAGTGCAATCGATCGCAGCATGGTGGGGGTCTCTCTCTATAAGTTCATTTTACGCTCCTACAGCCCCGGAGGGTGTCTAATAACGAGAGTCTACTGTATACATATATACACACTTTTGACTTACAATATAAATTTTTCTACTATGAAGATGTAATGATTTAATTTATTACACACACACACACAAATATATATATATATGCATTTGTGAAACATTGACTATTAAACGGCCAATAGTTTTACGTTTTGAGACACAAATAGTTAAGNAAAGCATTGACATTATCGACACGACGCAGTAGTAGATCAGATGATTGCTACAGTTAGTTAAGACGGCGCCCGTTGGCACTACTTACCGCTAGGGAATACCGTCCCTCTTCCTCTTAACCCTCCGCGTCAACGAAACGAATTCCTGATTTCGACTGTACCTTTTCCATATATGTAATACTAGTATTGTTCGTTTTGTCTCTCGGGAGCTGCTCGGAATCGCTCCGAGCGAACCCAGTAAACTTGGGCTGCGTTCCAATATTTACTTCCAGTACTTAAAATCTATATTTCACGTCACGTATGCTATAGATTTCTAGTACTGGCTGTGAATATTGAAACGCAGCCGAAGTTCACTGGGTTTGCTCGGAGCGACTCCGAGCAGCTCCAGAGAAACAAAACGAACAATGCTACTAACAGCGTTTTTCACTGGGATAACTGGTGCGCACTGAGTGCGCACTAGCCAAGAGGCTTGTTCTTTTTTCATACTTTGGCTGCACTAGTTCACACAATTTATCTTTTTTTATCCATATTAAAAAGAAAAAGATAGACTGTGAACTAGTGCAGCCAAAGTATGAAAAAAGAACAAGTCTCGCGGCTAGTGCGCACTCAGTGCGCACTAGTTATGCCAGTGAAAAACGCTGTAATATATCGCCAGTACGGTGCCGACCTGAAGCCCAAACGTTACGGTGCAGACAATATACGTTGCTTTCCAGCAAAGAACACAGACGACACAAAGTCACACAATGTTCGACACGGTGCTTTCCAACAACGACACAGCTCGACACAACTGTACACAGCCGAAGAGTACAGTCAAGCACAGTGTGTCAAATGCAATGCTGCCAATTCATTGAAAGAATTTAAATTAAAATTAGCAGCATTTTGTTTCAAGTTATCGCCTTACGTCGGGTTATGTATAAGGTTATATGTGATATAAACGTGCTGTTTTTTTCTTTAACTAATTCTAGACAATATTATTACATTTTATCACATTTTTAGTTAATTATATCTCATTTACCATCGAATAAAACAAAATGTTTATAAATTATACTTACTTTCCTCTGTTTTTCTTTTTTTTTCTTATATATATATATATATATACATATATATATATTTTTTTTTCTAAATCTTACAAGTAGATTTAATCGGGTGACGTCTATTTGACCACGGTACGATTGACCATAGTACGATTGACCACGTACGATTGACCACGGTACGGTTGACCACGGTACAATTGGACACCGCAAAAATAGCATACTGTACAATTCGACACGAAACGATTGCACACGTACAATTGACCACGGTACGATTGACCACGGTACGATTGCACACGATACGATTAGACACAGTAGTTTTCGGGCATTATATACAAATATATTTATATTTGTTTGTATTTCACACAATCGTACACGTGTGGGCGAGAGAAGGACGAAGCCCTTCTCCCTGCACCCCCGCCCCGAAAAACCCGAACCTAACCCTAACCTGTGTCACTATCATCATTAATTGTTACGATACACATTGCTTGTACTGTGTCCAATCGTACCGTGGTCAATCATACCGTGGTCAATCGTACGTGTGCAATCGTACCGTGGTCAATCGTACGTGTGCAATCGTTTCGTGTCGAATCATACAGTATGCTATTTTTGCGGTGTCCAATCGTACCGTGATCAATCGTACCGTGGTCAATCGTACGTGGTCAATCGTACGTGGTCAATCGTACTGTGGTCAATCGTACCGTGGTCAAACGGAATACGCCCGTCAAATCTCAACAGTTTTCAAATCTGTCATTGGTACTTTAGATTGACATGTTTCGTTTTTCTTATGCATGTTACTTTGTGCATGTCTTTCTAAGTGTGTTATTCCATCCATTAAAGTTTTATTGCACAGGGTACAGTAAAAACTTCCTTTCATTTTCTAAAGCCACATCCACTTCTGTGTTTCCACTCAGTTTTAAACTTTTGAACATATTTCTTTTTCTTTGGTTTTGCTATTCTTTCCTTTATCATCTCAACATCACTTTCGCTTTCACTATTGTCCATATCAATATTATTACATTTTGTAATTGTATCTAGTCGAAGACTACAGACATCACTAACGGCCAATTTCGTCACTTCTAGATAAGTCTATTCTCTAGATAAATTCCTCTGAGAACCAATAAGGAGAACCAATTTTGGAAGATATCTTTTAGATAAAGTTATCGAGAACTTATCTAGAAGTGAAAAAATTGGCTGTAACAGTATTGGTTTTAAGAGGGTCCTGAACCGTCCTGTTATTACCGATCGAACGAGTAATTCGTATTAAGAAGTGTTTTTCATAATTATTGCTTGGATAGGAAAACGGCTGTACAGATTAAAAGAAAACAATAAAATTAATTTCGGAGACTTTTAGATATATCAAAAATGTAAGAAAAATTTGTGATGTTACAATCACCTTTACTTTTAGTGTACTGGTATTTGCAGTCCAAGAGTTATGCATAAAAACCAAAGAGTCTCCGAAATAGACATAACATTCAAGAATGTAATGAGACTATTAGACTCTGATTTGGATGCCTACAATAGACAAACAATTCATAATATGTTTCGTGTACACGTTTGCTAGCATTCCAGTGCTAAGAATATAAAAATGATTAGTATATAGTTCACGGATATTGGAACAGATAGCGCTGCAACATGTCGATAAAAAAAATTGCTACTATCTCTGGTTTTCTAACATGACATGTAAACATACCACTGAACGTGTACATGAAATGTGCACGTGCACGTAGTTTAGATCTTTTGTTTATTATAAACTAACAAATTACATTTTTATACTCGTATCATATTCTTGAATGTCATGTTTATTTCTGGTACTCATTTTTTTTCACATATCTATTAACTCGCTTTGGAGCACGTGTTGTTTTGCCAAAAGTTTTTTAACACAACACAAGGAAAACTTTTAGAAGTATTACTGAAGAAATCAAAGTGAATAATATTTGTGTTGCATTTGTAATATTACATTGTAGTGTAATAAATTATGTAATATCACATTGTATTATATTAAATATATTGTGTTGTATTCGGTTGTGTTATATTGTGATTACTTTGTGTTATGTGATTCTTTAAACGAATATCATCTGTACTACCGTGAGTATAAAAAACACTACCCAACACATGTTGGCTATTTTCTACATAATATTAAAACAATGTCAGATGCATCAGTAGTATGTGGCCCGTTATGGCGCGTCACAACAAACCCCCGCCACCGGTCCTCCCCACTCCAACTGGCGCCATTGCCCCACCACTGTGGTTTCCCCTTCCTTTTTGGTCTGGGGTTTTTGCCACGCCCACTGGAGGGGATAGAAATTGGAGGGGATGTGACATGATTTATGACCCCATAAATTTTTTATAAATGTTTAAAAATGTGTATTTGAAATTTTTGTTTTCTTGGAAATTTGAGTGAGAAGGGGTAGGAAGGTACGGGTAGAAGTCTGTAATTCTTTATTAAAAATAGCATATGTTGTTGAAAAAATGCATCTTGAAGCGTAACTGCTGGTGCTGGTGCTGCTCCGATGTTGTTGCCTCGAGCGTTCGAATGTTTATGAGAGCAAAGTGGCGTCGGTTGAGAGCGAGGGAGGTTATGTAAGGGTAGAGGTGGCGAAGCGTCGGGCCCCGGGGAAGGATCATCAACGTCTGGTACGATATGGCTCCCAATAAGCGTGGGCAGGGATAGCTAGTGGGGATGCTAGGTCCCCGGGAGAAGGACCAATCAGCGACTGGTACGTTATGGCTCCCAATGAGAGTAAAGCTGAGATAGATGGTGGGAAGATAGAGAGAAAGTCGTCGTCTAGTCGAAATAGAGTAAGTGGATGTTGTAAATCTATGACTAGAAAGGGTTGCTCTGCGGGGTGCTTTTGAATATAGGAAATGATTTTGCGCCTTTTAACATTTGTTACAGATTTTTTCTGAAGGATTGTCATAAATCTGCGTGTACTTGTTCGTGCGAGTTAAGAAGAGTGTGACGGTGAGGGGTGCAAAAGAATTCGGTACAAATTTTTTTCTGAACGATTTATGAATTCTGACAAGCCGGCAACCGTACTTAAGCCTGTACGTGCTTGTTCGTTTGTTCAAGAATTTTCGAGAAAATTCTACGAGAGTTTTCAAAAAATGTTTATAAAAGTGCCCGTTTGAAAGAATTGTTTAGTTGTCTTGTCATACACATATGCACGCATGTATAGGTAGCTACGACACAAAGTAAATGCGTCAGCAAAGACTCGTGTGTTGTACGTGGATAAAAATTTATTATTGTTAATTTTTTGTATAAAACGGAAGGTGTGGTGGAAAAATAAGTTGCTGCTTATGCGCACAAGAAAGCAAAATTGCTATAAATAGGCCGTTGCAAGAACATTTTAGAATATTATTCTGCTGCGAACTGTTGCGTACGGTTGTGATATTTTATATTACGTGGTGAATATTTGTTAGAGTGAAAAGTGAGAAGAAATGGAGCTGAATAGTGAAAAACAACAACAACAATCTATATCCAGTTCAAATTCGCACTCCACCATCGAACAGCAAAATAGCAGACGTGAGATGCTGCTTTCCACCATGTACGGATTGAATAATTAGCATACGAAGAAAATTCAAGGGGGATTGCTCGCGGATATGAAAAACGGTTTTTATCCGGCTATTAAATTATTTGGAAATGGAACAAATACCATATGGCTCGATGCTAATGCGTGGAAGAAATTTCAAGACGCCATGCCGTTAATAAGTTTGTACCTGGACGGAGGCAAGTCCAAACGGAACCGATTTTGATAAATAATATCACAATCGCATTTACTACGGCGTATGGATCGAAGGCCATAGTAATTTTTCACAAAGAGGAGGAGGAAGAAACAACTAACAGCGAGACAGTAAGAGAACAAGATTTGAATTGCTCTAAAGCGAAGAAACGCAAGATATTTGCCGATTTCGTTGTGATGCAAAAAACAACATTTCTCGGACTGCAGAATATATCGCAATGTGTTAACGCGTATATAGAACACTTAGATACGTTAGCATCTAGCGTTAGCGAATGTTGCAAGTATTTAATACAAGAAACAGAATTGTTACTCCCGAAAACTTATATAAACGCAGACATTATCAAGTTAACAATTAAAGGTAATTACAGCAATATCGAACGTGCTGTACAGACACAAATTAAACACTTACCGTTTCTAGATACTTATTTTACCTGGGTATTTCTAGAAATGTGTACACTGTATTTGGACAATGTTGTTCAAATTATTTTGAGAAAGCATTAGAAGTAATGTCTTCTCTCGGTTTGCTTGTATACAAAAATATATGCCAGTGTGAATAAAAATAAAAAAAAATAAAAATATATATATATATACTGTCTTCTATAAACTAAATATCTGTGTATGTTGTTCTTTATTACTCCCGAACCTGTTCTATTTGCTCGTTATTTTATTGGAAAAACGAAAAATTAAAACACAATTTTTGCGTCATTCGCACATAGAAAATAAATGAAAAATTCGTTGATATAAGTTGTTCTTATATCGCGTATCCTGTTGTATCTTGTTGCATCCTAGTGTAACGTGATTCCACGTGAGCGTCAATCTCGAAAAATCCTCGATAAACTTTCTCACAGACCAAACCCAGAGTCATAAATAAAAGTTTTGTATATCGCAAGACCTTTGCTTTATTGCGGCTCGGGTAATAAATCTCGTTACGCGTGTTATGAAAATGCAGCCAAAGAAGCGCAATAGCTGTTTTCAACCCGTTGACAAAAAATAAGAGAAACTCTGTCTGCTTGTAACAGACGTTCAAGACGAGTGACATCTTAGGATCACTTTCATTTATGAACCCTCAGTTTTTGGGTTATAAAATCAATGTCAACTTTATGGAAAGGCAAATCAGATTTTTTCACTCCGTTGGCAAAAAATAATAGAAACTCTATAGTGTTTCTGAGTAACAGACGATATATATATATCAGTTTGTGACATCTTAGCACAACTCTCACTTCGTAATTTTCGGGCTGGACATGGTATAAAAGTTCTGTTAAAACGAGAACGAAACACAGTCTGAGTTTAGAACAAGCAACGGAGTGATCTTCAGAGTGTTTGTCAGTAAGTCCGGTGTTCTGTAAGCAATATTTGTGTAAGTGCAGTTTGCAAAGTTTTATTAAAAATATCGGCAAAAGATATCAGGGATATCATTGTATTCGCGCTCCAGTGCAATCCGTTATTGCAGTCGTTGCGTGAACTATTATTATTTATCTCGAACGAGAAAGACAATATCGAGATATTTAGAAACTTTGCGTATCGAACACGCTTCTTGCGTCGATGTACGCCGCGGGGTTGTTCGACGAAGATCGTCGGCTGGTGCGTATTGCGTGCGAAGTGGTGAACTTCCGCGAAGCATTAAGTCACGAAGAAGATGTGCGAGGATTGATCACCCGGATGGTACGCGATAATGAAAGTAAGTGTCAAATTTTTATAATGTAAGTTTTTCACGCTTTATGTTTTGATATAACGTGTGAGTAATTTTTATTTTTATTTTTTTTTTAGTGAACAACATCTTCGACTCGGTGATGGCACGAGAACCGGAGCCGCAGGTACCTCGTCTTGCTTCTAGTCAGCAACATCAGCAGCAGCAGCAGCAGCAGCAGCAGCAGCAGCAGCAGCAGCAACAGCAGCAGCAGCACCAGCACCAGCAGAAAAATAGAGTGGAGTATGTGCCGCGGAACGCAATCCCGCTCGTATCCTCTCGTTCCTGCGCGGAACCTCGGCCGATAGCTAGAATATCACCAATGCGGCCAAGATATCGTCTTTCTCTGCGTCGACGACGAGAGAGAGAAGAAGCAAATGAACCTCCTCTGCGTAAGTATATAAGTAACAAGAAATAGTAACATGAAAATATATTATAACTAATTTTAATATATTAATTTTTAAATTTTAGGAAGAGCCCGTAGAGACGAAGCGGAGCTTCCTCCTCTTCTTCCTCCTCCTCCTGCTGTTACCCTCGCTGATTCCGGTAAGTGAAACTAAATATTTAAAGATCGTGATGAGAAATGTAGAGGAAATAGAATATATATATATATGTATATATATTAATTTTTCAGATGATGATGAAGACGTGCGCATGCTGTTGCACATACAATATGCGCCTGGTAATATTAATGATCAGCAGCAACAGGCAGAAACGGAAGCGGAAGAAGAACGAGCGTACGAAATACGTAGAAGTCAAGTGGAGGAAGAACTTGCGGATATTTTCGAACGAGAAACGATCCGCAACTTGTCGGAGAACGACGACGACGACGACGACGGCGGCGACGAAGATAACGCCGACGATGATAGTGAGGAAGACACCGACAACGATACCGACAACAACGAGAATGATGATGATGATGACGACGACAACAACGAGAACGATGCCATCGACGAGGACGACGTCGTCGACAACAACGACGACAGTAACAACGAAGTTACTGATGATGAAGTCGGTGATAATGACGACGACGACGACGACGACGACGATGAAAACGACGAAGATTCGTTCGTGGAACTAACGGAAGGTTAGGAGGATAGTTGTACATATATTTGTATATAATTGTATATATAATAAAGTGATATATAATAAAAGTTTCAATAAAATAAAAAGATCCAATTATATTATTAATTATATTATCCAGTCCTGTCAATTATATGTTGCAATATATACATGTATAGCTGATAATTCGATGTCTTAATTTCACTTTCTTCTCAATATAAAATTCGAATTAAACTAAGAAATATAAAGTATAAAATAATATTTACAAACCGTTACAATGTTGATAGAATAAAGATACAAAGTATAAAGAGAAAAAATTAAAAACAATAAAATTATTGAGAAAAGATAAAACTTATGATTAAATAATAAAAAGAAAAATTGGATCTTTTACTCTGTGTAACACCGATTGGTAAGTGTGTTTGTTAGTATATTTTAAGTTTTAATATTGTTGTACTAAGCTATTTTTTCACAGTGCAATACGGCGGTGGAGCTGCAAGTGCTGTTGCTGCGCAAGAAGAAGAAGAAGAGGATATTAATAGTAAACAGATCGTTTCCAACAACAACAACAACAACAAAGAACGCAGCAGCAGCAGTGACGCCGACGACGCTGGCGAACGTTATACCGGCAGCACCGCCACCGACGAAGACCGCTATACCGTCAGCACCGCTACCCCCGACAGCGTCGTCAACCCCGACACCGTCAGCATCGCCGATAATGACAACAACAACAATAACAACAACAACAATGGCGAACAGGTCGGAGATAATAATAATAATAACGAATATAATTATATAATTTTATGGGTGGAAAACTCGCGTAGATTTAAGAGATTCGGGGTAATGGGGAGAGAGGCGATATTCGAGATTCGCGAAATTCGACCGGGCGCTGAATTAGTAGAATGGGTGGAGGGTGCATTTCGCGAAATCCACAGATACACGACAAATTTAACGGAGCCGAATGATTACGTCGGGGTGTGGTTCGACTTCCCGACTTTGACCAACGGTGCAGCAGGTCTCTCTTTCCGTCTTGCGCGCGACTTGACTCACGAGAATATTTGGTCTCTCGTGAGTTCAGTTGCACAAAGCAACGGAGGGCTGGACATCGCTGCATCGTTTACGATCCGCGTATGCACCGTCCACTCTCCGGCGGGTAGAGGCCGTCCTCTGGATGCGGAAGGAATCGGGAAACGCTCGATTCTCACGATAACAAACCGTGACAACCTTTGTTTCCCTCGCTCACTCGTTGCCGCGCGGGTATACCTCGAACGAGGTAACGCCCGCACGGGTGAACTCCATGAGAGCTGGAATGCAATGAGACGCTCAAACTTTTCTTTACAACACCAATGGGCGCGGGAATTGGTGGAGAGGGCGGGCGTCTCAATTCCAGAGGAGGGATGCGGTATTAGAGAAATCGAGCGTTTTCAACATTACCTTGCCGTCGAGGAGATAACCATAGTTGTATATAATTCGTCCACTTTCGGGAAAGGCGGGAAACCGTTGTACGACGGTAGTGCGTTCTGCGCATCTCTTGGACGCGATTCCTTGCAACGTTTAAATATTCTTTATTGCGAGGATTCGCGTCACAATTCCCCGATTTTAAATTTAAGAGCGGCGGCAGGGAGCGAAGGATATTGTATTCCTTGCAACCTGCTTTATCGTCTCGGGCGAGGAGTCCATCGTTGCTCGCATAAATGTCCGCGTTGTCGCGGTGTGCCGTCGTGTGAATCGGAAGAAGTAGAACAAATTAGATGCGAGCAATGCAAGAGAACGTTTTACGGGCGCGACTGTCTCGAGCGTCACCGGGCGGAAAAATCGTACGGAGTTGGACGGGTGAGCGTATGCAGCGCCTTGCAATTGTGTGATGATTGCGGGCGTTTGCACAGAACATCGGGTGCGAAACACGAATGCGGCGTTGTGTTTTGCAATATTTGCAGTTCGCGTCGAGAGGTGAATCATCTCTGTTACATTCGTCCTGTCGCACGCGATGATTTCACCGGGAAAGGGAAAAACACGCGCGTCGCATTCGTGTTTTATGATTTCGAGACCCGGCAGGATGAGACGCTCGAAGGTGGCGAGTCTGTGAAAGTTTACGTGCCGACTCTCTGCGTTGCGCAGCAGATTTGCGTCACGTGCGCGAATGAGGACGACATGACGGTGCGTTGTCGGTGGTGCGGTGTGCGCGAATTTGTATTTCGCGATGATCCGATGAAGCAATTCGTCGATTTCGCTACGAGAACGACGAAATGTTTCAAGCAGATCATCTGCATCGCGCACAACGCCAAGGCGTTCGACGTGCAGTTTATTCTACGTTACATCGCGGAAAAACGTGTCGAATTGGATCCGCGAGTAATATTAAACGGGACGAAGATCGTCGTGTTAACGGTCGGGCGTACGAAATTTATCGATAGCATTAATTACATGCCGATGCGTTTGTCTGCTTTGTCGAAAGCTTTTGGTTTGCGTAATGGGGTGGAAAAGGGATATTTTCCACATTTATTCAACACCCTCGCGAATCAAACGTACGTCGGACCGTTACCGCCCGTCGAATAGTACTCGCCGGATAGTATGTCCATCGAAGAGCGCGAGCGGTTTTTGTCGTGGCACGCGGAACAGACGCGCGAGCAAGCAGTTTTTGATTTTCAACGCGAGATAGTTCGTTACTGTCGCAACGACGTGGATATCTTGCGACGAGCGTGCATGGCCTTCCGCAAGATATTTCTTGAGCGAGGAAACGTATGTCCGTTCGAAGAATGCACGACCATTGCTTCCACGTGTATGCGAGTTTTTCGCAAAAACTTTCTACGCGCGGAAGAGATCGGCGTCATTCCTCGCGAAGGATATCGCCTCGCGGACATGAAATCTCGCAAGGCTCTGCAGTGGCTGGTATGGAAAGAACACGTGCTCGGCCACGCCGTGTGTTCACGCGGGGCATGGACGAGAATATCGTCTCGCGGAAGTCGGTGGCATTCCCGTCGATGAGTATTACGAGACGGCGAACGGTGAGCGTCACGTGTTGCAATATCACGGCTGCTTTTGGCACGGCTGTCCCGCGGGTTTTAAAACAGAGCGAGACAAGCGTCTCTGTACGGAGAATAGCAAAGTTCACGATACGATGAACTCGCGATACGAACGCACGCTGACAACGTCATGGCGTCTTCGCAAGCTGGGCTACATTGTGACGGAGAAATGGGAGTGCGCTTTTGATCGCGATATGCGGAAAAATCGGAAAATACGAGCATATGTAGAACAACATTCGATGCTCGCGACTGAACCGCTTGCACCTCGCGACGCGTTTTTCGGCGGACGAACGGGAAACATCGCGATTAGTCGCGAAGTTACGGGTACGGAGAAGATACGTTACGTAGACGTGTGTTCTCTGTATCCTTACGTATTGAAAACCGGTGCTTTCCCGATTGGTCATCCGAAAATTCTTGTCGGACAAAAAGAGTGCGCCTCGCTCATCGGAGCGATGCCCGGTGTCGATTTTTCCGCGGTCAAAGGACTTGTGCGCTGCAGAGTGCTCCCCCCGCGCAATCTTTTTCATCCTGTACTCCCGTACCGCGTGCAGGGCAAACTGCTGTTTGCCTTGTGTCGCAGTTGCTGCGAACGCTTCTCGCAGACTTTGTGCTTGCACGATAATCCGCGCGATCGCGAATTCGAGGCCGTATGGGTATTGTGCAAATTACGCAAAGCTGTGGAGAAGGGTTATTTCGTGACCGCGGTGAGCGAGATATGGCAATACGAGATGAGCCGATACGACCCCGGTACGCGTCAAGGAGGATTATTCTCCGAATATATAAATTGCTTCCTTAAACTGAAGCAAGAGGCGAGCGGATGGCCGAGCGAATGCGTAGATGAAGAATCTAAAGAGCGATATCTTCGAGAATACGAAGCAATTGAGGGTATCGCTCTGGATAGAGAAAACATCGTTTTCAATCCAGGTTTACGTTCGGTCGCGAAGCTCTGCCTAAATTCGTTTTGGGGAAAATTTGGCCAACGATCGAACCTAACGAGTACCGAGGTGGTGAAGTCGCAGGAGCGTCTCGTATCGCTATTGTCGAGTCCCGAGCACGAGGTAACCGATATATTACCCGTGAATGACGAAGTAATATATGTTTCGTGGCGATTGCGAGACGAGGCGGTCGTACCCTCTCCGATTACCAATGTGGTAATAGCGGCGTACACGACGGCACAGGCGCGATTGAAACTGTACGAATATTTAGAACGTTTAGGCGAGCGCGTTCTTTATTACGATACAGATTCGTGTATTTACGTGAGCAGCAGCAGCAGCAGCAGCAGCAGCGGCGATGAACCCGACGGCGAATACGAACCGCGTACGGGAAATTTTCTGGGCGATATAACGGACGAACTCGAAGGCTACGGACGCGGTAGTTACATCGAGTCGTTTGTATCCGGTGGCCCGAAAGTTTACGCGTACGTAATTTGTACTCCGGACGGTAGCGCGTGGGAGGTATGTAAAATCAAGGGAATAACCCTCAATTCCGCAACTTCCCGCATAATTAATTTCAATAGCGTTAGGGAAATGCTAATGCAAAGAGAGAGAAAAGAACAAGGAGAAAATACGTCGATAAATCTGCATTTTAGAGCTATTTGTCGTACCGCGTTTCACGAAGTTGTGACGCGGGACGAATCAAAAACCTGCTCGCCGGTTTTGCTGAAGCGTAGATTTATCGACGAACGACGCTCCGTTCCGTATAATTATTTGGAATAAGTCTTTTTTCTTTCTTCGCGTTAGCATTTTGTAAATAAACTGTTACGTCCGAGTGTTCAAGGTCACGGTTCGACAAAACCGTTTACTCTTGTCGAACGTTCGTTCTCCCTTTATGGTCAGCCGTACTGGCTTTACCGGGGCGGAGAATGAGGATTTTCGGTCGGGAAGATAACTGGACTGATTATTACCGATTGG